TTCTCCCAAAGCAGATTTTAGCCATTAGTCAGGTTTTTTCCAAAATGACCGCGCTGCGGGCACTAACGCAGCGCTGCGCGGGACGTACGCAAATTTGAGGCCCGAACCAATCTGACTGAGCATGATAGAAGCGACTATACACAACAAAAGTGAGTAAATTTAAGCGAAAAAAATTTTGATTTAAATATAGAAATTATATACAAAACAAAACAACTGTTTTCTTTTTAAGGTATAATGTCATACAAACCTTAATATCATCGCAATAAGTTGCATTGCAGACACAAACCACGTTATGATCTGTGGACTTATAAACTCTCTGAACGCAAGGGCGATCAGCTGAAATGCATCTGGTTTGTTCAAAAATCAAATGGGTTCAACTGTTGCAACTGGATTTGGCTTACTCAATCAATCCTTCAACACATGCTTGATAAGCGATACAAAAACTCAGATAAGGTCCTCTCCATGCAAAAAATATCCTGCCTTTGGAAAAATAAGGGAAAACGAGATACCTATGCAAAATCCCAGGACAGCAGTGAAGATGAGCGTAAGAGGCATCGTCTAGCAAACGATCAATGATACACTTGCAATCTCTATAGAGATCCTATAGATGCACGGACAAAAAACTGTAAGATGAAGGATGTAATTCTATCTGTCGTGTGATACGCATGAAAAACAATAAAAAAAGATGCAGGAAAAATCTCAAACATGAATGACGAAATCAACTAGTACGTCATTAATACTGAGGAAGGGATCAACAAAATAGAGGCTAATCTAAGACGGCGGGTTATGGTACCAATCAATGTTCCTGGGTTTGTATGGCCGTCGACCTTGGCAGGCTTCCAGATAGATGATAAGGGTATACTTATACACTTCCGTATATACAAGGTGGTCCACATGAAGTGTGACGCAAGAATACCCACAAATTTGCATCAATCAGTCCATATAAGAAATATACTCTATTCAATAGCCAGAAAAATCTACATAAGAGATTACATATCGCGAAAATGGCCACCTTTAGCTTCAATACAAGCGTTCAATCTTTTTTTTGAAATTCTTGAGGATGCGCGCATCATTTACTGCGAGATTTTCAATTCCTCCAGTCTCTTTGAAGCGTTTTATGACTCGGTTTACTTGCTCGCGATGTAGTTTGAGTGTCTTTGAAATCTCAGTAAGTGACAAGCCGCGCTTTGCATAGCGACTATTGCAGAACAATCATCATGTGTATTTCCACCTAAAAAAGAGAATAAGACTGACCAAAGCAGGACTCAAAAATACAAGAAAAACGAATAACACAACTTCAAAGCAAAAGAAAATGTTTAAAAATGCTAAAAAATGGGTTTTTCATAGCCGGCCACGCTTCAAGTGGACCACCCTGTACATTGCGCAAACCCTCAAGGTCATCCGGGACTAAAGTATCAAATCACTTTCGCCATTTTCGACTGAACTAATAAAAATAGAAAAACTTCAAACTGTAGCTGCAACTGCACGTTCTCGCTTAACATATTGTTCTAGATTATTCTGTTTGAGAAATTAGCAAAAATCACACTTATGCAAGAAATCGTGGCAAAATTGTGATTTTTGACCAGAAGGATATGTCAACTTTTCTTGTCAAATTTCTTTCGCACTGATGTCAAGATAATATGGATTCAGCGCATTTAATGCGGTAGCAGACAAAAAAGACCTCAATTCGACTTCTTTCGATAAAGAACATGTCATGTATAGTTCAAAATTTGGTAGAAAATAGCACCTTGAGCATAAACTACAAAAACTGATTGATGAACTAGCTTTTTCCTTACAAATGGCCTTCATAAACACACTAACTTCATTACTGCAAAGGCCACGCAGTTTACAACCTTTTTTTATATTACACCTACCAACCGGCCTATCATATTGCAAGCATATATGTGCGCATGATTTATATTGTTACATACAT